TCATAAATATTTGGCATCATCATTTGAGATCCAGTACTTCTGGACAATTGCTCGAACTTGCTATGGGAACTCATATGTAACAATTAACATCTGACAGTATTTGTCAGCTGGCATGTGGTCACAGCTAGTATCTTATGTAAAGGAACAACACTTAATGATGAAACTTGGGGAGTAGGCAGTGCTCAGTTTCACCTTATTGTGCATCCTCATACGGCCCATCAACATTAGGGAGCCAAGGGTGAGCTGAGACTATGCACTGAAACGGGGCCATGACTCAAGTGCGGTGGCTTGGCAGATTGCCTTGGCTGCAGGAAGTGAGCCCAGGAGATGGAGGTACTCACTGAGGCCACGTGGTGGCAGTGGCAGCAGGTGTCTGTCAAGCCTTCCAAGCCAGCAGTGGGCACTCCAGCTGCACACCTGCCTGTTCCCTGGAGTGGCTGTCCAGTCCCATGTTCTGAGTGTTCAACTGAGTGATGTCTCAGTTCCCCAGAAAGCCATACTTACAGCTGCCCTGCACAGCAATCCAGACTGCCACCCAACCCGTTCTGAACTCTGGAAGCCCCTGAGAGATGGACTGGGGTGGCCGTTTTGGGAAGCCCCAACAGCTGCTTCCCTCCTGTGACAAATTTGGTGGCAGACATGTGGCTGATGAGGCAGCCTCACAGGGGAGTGAGGTGGTCAGGCAGTAGGGTGGCCAGGGATCTGAGAGTGGAGGAGAAGGGGAGGCAAGGATGGTGGTAACAGCCAAAGTAGATGAAGAAGAGGTGTTCAAAATAATGCATGGTGTGGAGAAAGTGGAGAGGGAGAGAGTTTTCTCCCTCTCCCATAACACTAGAACGTGGGGTCATCCCTTGAAGCTGATTGGTGGAAAGGTTCGGACAGATAGAAAGAAGTACTTCAACACTCAATGCATAGTAAAACATTTGCTGTGACTGGAAGTAGTGATAGCCACCAATCTGGATGGCTTTAAAGGGGGATTGGACAGATTCATGGGGGAGGAGCTGACAAGTGGCTTGGGGAAGAGACAGCATGCCTGCATACACCAGTTGCTGAGGAGCTGGGCAGGAGGAGGTCTTGCACCCTTCCTGCTTGAAGGATCCCGTGGGCAGCTGGTTGGTCACTGGGTATATGCAGTACTAGGCTAGATGGACCTTGGGTCTGTCCAACATGACTTTTCTAATGCTCTTAAAGAGGAGAAGGTGGGGAGGCAGCATTGCTGGCAGCAAGGTTGGGAGGAGGGATGTGGATGGTGAGGGCAGTGGCTTTGGTGGGGGCGGAGAAGGTGAGGGGGGGGGTGGCTGTTGCCTGCAGTGTGGTCCAGAGAGAAAAAAGAGCAGCAGCTTGTCTGCCGGTGAGGCCCCATAATGGTACCTTGCTTATGACACCAAAAAAGGGCTGTGGGACTGCAGGCCCAGGAAGCAAATCCAGCATTCCAGGGGGCCCAAATCAGCCACCCGGATACCCAGCATGGCATTTGGGAGTCTCAGGCAGGCTGCCATCCTATGAGAGCCCCCCAAGAGCCAGGGATTGGTGTAGCTGAGCTCTGACCTCTGGACCTGGCTCTAGACCTTTGCACCCATCTCCAAAAACATTGTACACTACTTTGCTTAGCATACATAATGTTGGAAAGCAATTTTCATAATAATACAGCCATTCTGGTAAAAAACAGAAAGGGAGAAAATAAGGAGACATGTAGTTTCAAATTGAGTTTGGGTGATGTATTGATTTGGATGTGCAAACTCTGGTCAATTTACACTGAAATGCAAACACAAACACATATCCAACCGTCTTTATTATACAACAGGGAGATAATCAGGCCATCTTTAAATGCTTGCTTGTTATGGCTCAAGTATCGAGTTGTTCTAAAATCATTATGCCCAGTTATATCAGGAAGCATATCCAGAAGCCATTGAAATAAATGGCGAATGTATTGAGAGCTAAAATTAATCCCATTCCTCCAGTTCACTTAAGTGTATTTTGACAGATAATTTTCCTTGGATGAACTATTCATCCAATATTTGATATTAACCTTTGACACCAAATAATTTTTGATTAGTACTCAAACTTTGAACTAGACCAGATATGCGGAAATTAACATTTGACAGTATTTATCATCTGGCATTGACTAACTGTCAATATTTGCTAGTGCCTTCCATGAGAAATGGATTTTTCATGAGGAGGAAGATGGAGGTCAATTCACAGAAACCATAAAAATACAGACAAAACCAAGCTGTTGTAATTTTCATCTTCTCTCACATACCACCAAACAGTCACAGCTGTTGCCCTTCTGCATGATAGAGCACAAGTCAGTTTGGTCATCTTTAAATGATTGTGCACGGCTCCAGCATCACAAGTGCCCGGTTAGACAGGTGCCCAGCATATCCAGAAGCCATCAACATAAATGGGACATTTTTGAGAGTTAATATTAACCCCCCTTCCAGTTCGTCTAAGTGTGCTTTGGCAGTGTGTGTTCAAATTGATGGAATAATATTTTGCAAATATTTAACATCCCCGTTTGACATCCAATGGATTGGCAGAAGTACTCAAACTCTGCACAAGACCTGATATGCAGCATTTGACAGTCTTTGTCAGCTGGCATGCAGCGGCAGGCAACATAAGCTAGTCTCCTGTATAAAGCGGACGGCACTTGACCAACTCACATGGGGGACAGGAAGTGGGCATGAGTGTGTGCTTCTGCTGCCCTAGAACATCTGCCCAGTAACAAAGGGTGAGCCCCTGAGCAAGGCCAAGGCTCTCCAGGGGTCCTTGACGGCGAGACGCTCCAGGTGAGTGGTGCTGGCGGCACAGGTGATCTTGCCGGGAAGGACTCTCACAGAGGGTGAATGGAAGGATCTGGTGGAGTAAAGAGGGGAGACGAGGATGTTTGGGTGATGGATGGCAAAGGGAAAGAGAAGTAGAGACAAGAAGGGGGGGGGGGGATAGTGATAGCGGCCAGGGCAGATGAGAAAGGAGGCAGAGGAGGGGCACAAGAGGTGGCTGTGGGGCTGCCATGTGCGGTATGAAGATGAAGGGAAGGGTGGCTGTTGCCACCAGGATAGGCAAGGGCCAAAAGAGGGCGGCAGTGTGGCTTCTGTGGACACCCAAGTATTACCTTATTTCGGGTACCAAACTGTTGGGACAGAGACATTTGGCCACCATTGTACTGAGGTAGGTGTAAACATCTGAGAAAACACACTCAGTGCAGGCCCTTTGCAATGTGTGCTTCTCAGCCTGCCTGCAGCAGAATGAAACTTCCAAGCCAGTACGCATATGCCTGTAGTTAAATACATTCATGTGATGTGTGAACATTACACAGATTCACAAAGTGTATGTCAGTTCCATACTTTTCTTACCTGCAAGTGTTTTCCTTCTAATGTATGTTTAGACAGAAAAAAATCCTACAGGGCCCAGAATCCTGAGCCAGCCGTTGTGCCTGGGGCATTCTGGTTATTGTAGGGCTTTCTTCCTGTCTAACCATACATAGGATTGCACCCCAAACTGATGAAGGTTTGAGTGGCTCCTTCTTTGTGCTTTGTTTAATGTGCGAGAAAGACACTCATTACATTTAATCTTCTTCAAATTTCTGCCACCAGGTAGTGCTATATTCACAGTTCTGCCCTTTTCATTCAATGCTCATAGGCCTAGTAGCCCAAGATGGCTTTCTAATTATATCCTGCCACCCACCCCAGCAAACTGCATTTTGTTTTTAATGATGCAGCAGCCAGCAGTTCCCCCAGGCTGCAATTATGAAGCGTGGAACTTAATTTTTGCAGAAAATAGATTTTGTTTCAAAATTTGGCAGACAGATGAAACTTTCCTAGGAGAATGGAATACAGTGGGTGCCTCTGCAAGCCAAGAATTGTTTTGGCCAACTTGGAAGGAGAATGATGTGTGGGGGCGAGTGCGTATGTGTGTGTGGGGGTCATATTTAAGTTATGCATACATATGTACAGAAAGAATTACATTTTCAGTCTGTTTTCCCTAGGAAGTGCTTTGAAAGTTCGCTTTCCAGTCTTCCAGAATAAGTTTGTCTGCACTGCATCTATGTGTTCAGGGTCACACGTGCCTTCTTCCCAACAAGCAGGTGGAAGAGGAGGGGCTTAGAAACATTAATGAAATCAATGGCCAGGCTTCTGTTCAATGCTAGTCCCACTTACCTGAATGCAGCTTAAGCAAGCTAGACTAACACTGGATACAACCCAATACCCTCAAAGTGTTTTGGACTAGAAGTCACACAATCCCTGACCATTAGCCAATGGGGGCTGCAGTCTAAATTGTTCGGCGGACACCAGCTTGTCCAACCAGGATTAAAACTTCTGCGAGATTGTAAACCTTAAATCTGGAAAAGGACCCAGCTCCTGAAGAAGCTACCTGCATGGTCCATTTAGGTCAATACTGCCGGCACTATAACTCTACGGAGCTTCAGTAAGTCTTTCCAAGTCCTGTCTGAATCCATTAGGAATTGGAACAGAATTCTGTTTCCTATCACAAAGCAAAGCAGTCTTATCCCCTCGGGCCCATATTACAGCGCAGCCATTAGGGAACAGCCATCATTAAGGGGTGACCAGGTATGATGCTGCAACTGTGTGAGGGTGGTATTCTATTAGTTAATGCGCTGATTTCGACCGCGGCAACAAGCAGAGTCCTGCGGAAGAGTCTACTGCGCACGCACGGCAGTATATCGCAGGTGACTGCAAAGGAGAACTTTCTGCCTGCTTGCGCCTTTAAGGCAGGCAGGGCAGGGCAATAAAAACAAACAAGCAAGACGCTTAAAATCCCGCAACCGGCGATCCGTTTGCTTTCAGGTCAACCGAAGATAATTGTCCATCGACGTTATTACTAGTTATTCGTGAGCGAGCAAGAAGTGCCGCGAATCGCCTCCCGCCGCATCCAAGAGGGCAGGCTCGCGGAGGGAGAGTGAAGGGGGTGGAGTAAAAGAGGAGGTGCGGCTTCGAAGCCGGAAAAGCTTCTCTTTTTTAGCGGAGCTGGGAGAGCCATAGCTTAGAGAACAAGCGAGCCAGTGGGAGCTTCGGACGGTGTTGCCGCTGCCTCTGCCTCTGCCTGACGCTCAGCCGAGACAGAGCGCAAGCCAGCCAGCCAGCCAGCCAGCCAGCCAGCCAGCCAGCCAGCCGCGCACCCAGAGACAGACGGTAAAAGTGCAGGCTGGAACGAGAGACAGAGAACTGAGACAGGAGATCGGCACAGGGCGAAGGAGGCTTCTTTCCCGCTCTCCTGCTAACCTACGCGTTAGGATCTGCTACCCATTCTTCTGTTCGCCCAGTAATTTTATTTATCCGCTACCGCTCATCAGCTGAGTGGTTTCCTGGCAAAGCCGTTTGGATTTTTATTTTATTTTAAAGAAGCAAAGCACCCCGTTTTTCCCTCTCTTCTTCACGCTCGAATCCAACCGGGCTGTGTGATTCAGGGCTCCGAAGAGGGGAAAAAATGTTAATCTCCTGACGGTTAAAAAAACCCCCACCAAAAAAAAAAAAAAAAAAAAACCAATCCTCCAACTTCAGCTTGAAAGGAGCAACTTCCCGCAGCCTCAGGAGCCAGACCTTGGGGTGAGAGAGAATGCACTGAAACTTTTGGCAAACTTTTTCGCTTTTTTCCTCCCCTCCAGTGTTCCTTCCCCCCTTTTTTCTTTTGGTGGTGTCCTTGCGGTGCGCGCGCTCGCGTGTGGTGCCTTGCCACCGAAGGGGGGAAAAGAGAGATCTGTTACAGTTCGGAACCGCCTGGGACGTTGCTGGGATTGCCCCGGAGGGGCGTCCGATCGGAGCCGAAGACGCCCGCTGCTCTACAAGTAGAGGAAAGAAGTGTAGAGGGGGAATCCGCGTCTTTGGCGCCTAGGGAAGCCGGGCTTATGGACGGGTGAAACCAGAGTCTAAAATCTCCCCCCTCTCTCCTTCACCAACCCCAGAGCTTTCCTTGATCGGAAGAAGAGCAGAGGGACCGAGCGAATCTTAACGCGCTAACTCCGGCTTCGCTCCAGGAATCATGAACTTTCTACTCACTTGGATCCACTGGGGGTTGGCGGCGCTGCTCTATCTCCACCACGCCAAGGTAAAAAAAGAAATGCAAGACAGAAGAGGGGCGGGCGGACGCGGGGTGCCAGGGACACACCACCTTCTCGCTCCGCGTGGCCTATTCCCTGCATGCTAACACTGCCCGTGCGTCGTGGGGGCAAGGTGACCACCGGGCGAAAGGAAGCCCGCACGCGTCGGGAGCTGCCCGCGGCGCGAGCGGAGGAGCAGAGCCGAGGGTTCCGTGGGGGGAGTGGGTTCAGCCGCGTGGGCTTTTCGCCCGTGCAGGAGGAAGCCGCCGCCGCAGCCTCCTTGCGGGGTCGTTCGGGGCTGCTGTGCCAACAAAAGGCGCCCTCTCGCCGCGCGTCACGCCTGGCGAGCGACGCGGGCATGTCGCTTCTTCTGCTTACGTTCACACCCCGCAGCCCGCGTGGGGCCTGTGACAAGGGAGGCGGAGGCGCGGAGTTCCCCCCGGGCCAGGCCCGCTCTGGCGTCTTCCTCGCACGTTTCCCGGGAGGTTCGCGGTGCGTGCGCCCTCCCCTTTCCGTCTGCGGAGCGAAGAGCAGGAGTTGGGGACTGGGGTTTGGAAGAGCGCCGCGCGGAGTCTCCGTCTCTGCGTCGTCATCGATCCCAGAGCATGTATGTAGGCAGCGCGCTCGCTGCCTTCTTGCATCAGCGGCCGCGTCGCACGCGCGCTCCTCTCCCTCTCCCTTTCCCTCTCCCCGCCCTCCTGACATTGCAAAAGGGGGTGTTCTAGCCTGTTTGCTTTAGATCGCGGCAGGTTTACCGACCGGAGTTCAAAATTCCGGGCTTGCAAAAGCAAATAACAGATCAAAGACCACAAAATGGATTCTGTAGTTCTTCCAGATTGACTTTGGAAAGGAACAACCTGGCTGAGTTCGCATAGATGGGAGGTTCCCCAACTCACTTCTGCCTCCCCCCCCTTACTACGGTCATAGGTAGGGGTTACCCCAAGCCCCCTGCACTAGTTCTTGCCCCATAGCGCTTTGAAGAGTTCAAACAAATGAGAAGCCTAGAATTTGGACTGGCCGTTGAGATGGTTCACCTCTGCTGCTAGGACACAAGTTAGTTTTCTTCTGCTGCCTGAGGACTTTTAGGCAGAACCGAATAAGTTAAGAGCATCTCTAAGAAGGGTGAGAACTGATGCCTTGTGCCAGCCTTCTCCATCCTCATACCCTTCAGATGTGCTGGACTACAATTGCTCGGCTTCACCCAGCTGGTGCAGCCATGTCTGGGAGTGGGGAGAAGACTCCCCTGTGGCAGCAAACCTGCTCCCGGCATTGGTTTTTTCTGGCACCAAAGGGAAAACCCAAGTGAGAAGCCATTTCAGGTGGACTGCGGTGTTGCATGCATTATCCCTTACCTGTTAAACTGATGCCTCTGTTCCTTGAGTGATAGTAACGCAACAGGAGGGGGAGTGTGGCTCCTTTGGGGAAGGTTTGTAGCTAGGTCAGTGCAATATCACCGTTATGCTCCTTAATGCAACACAGTTTGACTGTTAGATACTCCAGGCCAGGTAAAATGTGATTGAAAAGCTGCTCTTCTGAGCTAAAAGAAACCTGGGGGTAAATGGTTGGAGGCAACCGGGAGTGAACTGGAGAGTCAAGAAAAAGCAGTTTCCTCCAAGGATATGGTGACATGGTGCTCAAACTTAGGACTGCACAGTTGTTTGGTTAGATTGCACAGGAAGATTTGGAGAGTTGGGCAAAGCTCACACAGTGGTGCCGGTTGTGGAAATCCTGGCACAGAGTGCGATTTCTGTGGGGGGTGGGCAGGAAACGGATTTGGGCAAATTTGCGTTTGACTGCATGCACCTATCTGTAGCTGGAGATTTGAGGGAGAAACTGGGGTGAGGGAAATCAAAGCATTGTCTGCAGGTAATGCACCCTCATGCTGTAAGTGGAGGCAGGGGAGGTGCTGCCCTGAGATAAGGCTCCCAGTGGCAAAGATGCCGTTACTAATCATGGAGGCTGTTAGCGTTCTGAAGTGCCACTGGGGCAGTGAGATATCACGCGCCGGTGATCTGGCGGGTGTTGATGGCTTCCTCTCATGGGTCATGCAGCTGGCTGCAGCAGTGGTGCAGTCCGGGCAGTCGCTCCCACCGTGCCTGCCCTGCTGATTAGCCATTCTGAATGGGCTGCGCTTTGGAGTTGAGCTAGTCTGGTTATGGCAGGGTTGGCTGCTCTGATCCCAGCTTGCTGGGTTACAAGTTCAGGCACTTCCAAGTTCCCTCTGCTCTTTCTGTCCTGCCCTAAAGATCATTAATGGGGGCTTGGAGCCCGAGTGAGAGACCTTGGGCAGGTCTGTCTGCCCTTGCTTTACTCAATGGGCAGCCTGCAGTTTCCTCCTCTTCCTTCCGTTATCAACTTACTGAAGGGGTTTCATGTCCTGGGGCTCCCTTCGGAGATGTATTTTCTAGTGGGATCAGGCAAAGATCAAACACTGAAGGAGGAAGGGAGGGGACAAGAGCGTGTGACTAGACTGCTAATGATCTCACAGCCACTAGCCTCTTGCTTTTCATCAGGCCACACTGGAGTCAGCGCTTACCTCCCAGCTCCTTAGTGCTAAGTGGAGGGAACACAGTGGGTCACCTTCCACTGGAGCAGCCTTACTTGGAAGGCCTGGGCTTTCAGCAGGAAGGCATGCAGACACCTTTATTCCTAGCAAAATCTTAGAACTTGTAGAGCTTCCCTAATCTCTGAAAAACTGAGGGGCCTTTCTCCTGTTCCATGCAATGTTGAAGATTCCTCTGGCTACTTGCTGAATTACTGAACTCTTCCTGTCTGTCTCCCCCGCCCCCCACACCCCACCGCCCCTGAATGCATAATGGGAAAATATGGAGCACAGCTCAGTTTTTAATCTGTAACCTTTGAGATGACTTCTGTAGTACCTAAGATGGAAAGGGGTTTTAATTCTGGTTCCAGGGGCCCTCCCAAAGTGGCTGGGTTGTTTGTTCCAGTCCTAAACAGTTACAAAGCTCTTTTAATGAGGCTGCAGAGATTAGGGGGAGGGGAGAAAAAGAAAGGGTGGTTGTGATGTGAAGGAGTGGGGAGTGTGTGTGTGTGTGTGTGTGTGTGTGTGTAAATTATTGGATTAACATTTTCCTTGCCTCAAATTGGAACTGAGCACCATGTAGTAAAGTAGGAAATAGTATTTAATGATTGCAGAATGATTTTAATGTCTCTGTCTCTAAGCTGCAAGCAGCAGCTAGTGCCAGGACCTAAAGGAAAAAAAATTTCCTACTATTTCTGTTTGCTCTGCCTTTGTGCTGCGGCAAAATCCATTCATAGGAAAACATGAAATGAGGTGGAAATGAGGTGGAAATATAGATATTGCACTATAGAACCAGTGAGTAAATCCTCCAAGCCAGCAAAGGAGATGAGTAGGTGTGACCTTCAGAAGGGCACTGGGCCTTTTTGTCCCTTGGAAAGACTTAGTTGCGTATTCTTTCTGTGATGGAAGAAAGCCCCATGTAAAGGGTTAGTGTTAGCTGAAATTGTCAGAATCTGCCCCAGAGAGCATAATTCAGTATCCTAGGCAAGAAAAGTACCTTCATATTTCTGGTATGGACTCAAGGTGACACTGCTGTAAAACACCCGGCGGCAAAGGCAAAGGGATAACTGCTGTTTAATACCACGATCTGCAGGCAAATGGCATGAGCAATGCCATGAAAATATTGTATGTGATAGCTAATGGAAGCATGTCATTGTGTGAACAAGCAACCAACCAACTCGGCAATCCTTATTTAGGAGAATATGTGATATAATGCCTTTGAACTCTACTAATAAGCCGTCTTTGGTCTTGACCCATACTTTGCATGGGCATGTACATAACAGCCCCCTTCATGAATCTTTTTTTCACTGCCTGGAATAGTTTCTACTGATTTTTCAGATGGTTTTGAGGCTAGAGGTTTTAACAGCAGAGAATGTTTAAAAGCAGCTGTGTAGCTAAACATTTTTCTTTCTTTGTTTTGAATGTCTGAGTTATGAGAGAAAGAGAAGAGGGAGAGAAGCAATTTTGAAGAAGATTTAAAAAACTTTTTAAAAAAACCTGCAAAAGTTCCTGTTTAGTGATGGGTAACTTTAGATAAAACAGAACAGGCAGTTGTAGCTGAAACAAAATGACCCATTGAAGATGTTGGAGCATTAAAGGAGCTCTCAAGTGAGACATTCTGCTTTTGGTTATGAGTCGTTCATGTGGGACAGCTGTTTGTGGTCACGTTCGCTACAGGTGTGGCATTCATTCATTACCCGTCTTAAAGTGGAAGAGTCCCCAGACAACCTACCACCAGATGCTTGCTTATAAAAGTCTACGTGCACTACGCGATGCTGGGGAAGTGGGTGGACACCTGCCTGACAGCGGATGTGGCATCTTGCCACCTCAGTCAGGCATTATGTGCCTGGGGCTTTTCTCTGCCTGTATTCTGCCTGCCTTCTGGCTCTTGGCCTTGGTGGTTTTTGGAGGTCAGGTGTAGCTTCTCTGCCTCCCCTGTCTTGTTTGCACTGTTGCTGAAGCCTTCTTGTTAAGACAGGAAAGCTGCTCATCCCTACTGAGCTGCCAAGCCCGAACCCTCTTGTGTGGAAAGCCGAATAGTTTGAGCTCTCGCCCTGTTCAGGAGCAGGTGATTCAGTCTACTTGGTCAGACGAGCTGTAGTCCTGCACGTATTTAGGACAGTGTGAAATCTGGCAACACAAGTGGGAGCTGAGCAGCCTGACAGGAAAGGATTGTAGCCCACACCTTGGGCTGCTTTTCCCCCCTCCCTTCTGCTGACAGGTTGGTCAGGTATCTGCAAAAGCTCCTGTAATCTCCGGCTGGGTTCTGACCCATCATTTACAAATCAGGATTGTTGACACTTAACAGAATGGTCTGATGGTATTTCTATGGATTATTGCATTACTGACCTTGACTGGCTAATTCTGACATCTGAAACTAGATGTCATTCAAATTCCTGAAGACAGGAATTCAGGGAGGGAGGTGGCATTTCAGAAGTGTCTCGAAAGTGGGGAAAAATGTGTGCCGAAGGGGAAAATAGATGAAGTGCATCTCCTGTGTTCCCAGATCTGCACACCTGCTCTTCTCTAAGGTGAATTTGCTAACTGCTTGCCAAGCAGTGCTCTGTTATCAGTTCTGGAGTGGCTGGTATGTGTTGAAAGTATACAAGTGGCTACCCATTGTCCAACTCTGCTGAGCTTCCTTGCTCTTCTGGCTAAATTCCCATTTGTACAGTTACAGAAGTGAACTAAAACTGCAGCAAGGAAATTATATGTCACTTGCATCTATACTGCAGCCTACTAAAAACACCTTGGGGAACATGGGGGTAGGCAACCAGTTGCCCTCCAGGTGTTTTGGAGTAGCACATGGAATCTGTCACCATTGGCCATGCTGACTGGGACTGATGAGAGTTGTACTCCAAAAGGAGGGTGTAGTCCACCTGATGTAGTGCATTGCTGTTAGCAGGAAATGCTGTAGCTGGGAAACCAGAACTAGTAAAGCTGATGTCCTTACCATTTTATTGTTCAAGGAGTTGCTTTTCACAAGTGTCATCTAAGCAGCTTTCCCATTGCAAGGTACAGAACTGCACTGAGGGGGAAAAGATGGGGCAGGGATGACAAATGGTGGGGAGAGCTATGTGTGAAGTAGGGTTGACCGAGGAAGACAACAAAAGTTCCTGCAGGTTTGTTGAGGAGCAAACCCTTCTACCATTTGATGGTATGTCTAATTTCAAAGAAAGAGAAGAATTCAGTTCTGAAAGGATGTCAGAGAGAGTGTGTTGAACTGCCAGGAATCCCCACTGCACAGAGCAGTAGCGAAGGGCGGTTCTCGAAGCCTGGGGAGCATGAGGCTGTCAGTGACTCCTAGTCATGGGGGCTGGCGATATGCTGCCTCTGGTGGCCATGGCAGAATGGCTGAGCACACCAGGGGCTGGGACATGAGTGGAAAGGCGTTAAGCAGATGCTCTGCAGGTGGGGCACTTGGAGGATGTTTCTGCTCCTCATTTCCCCCCTATTCCTCTGCTCCCACTTGCATGGATCTGTTTCTGTGGCGCTGTTTGCAACTGGAGAGGGAAATCAGATTGTGATCTCTTGAACTGCTCCACCAGCTTGCTTTGCACTCTGCTGGAGCACTTTGTAGCAGGCAGGCCCCTTTTTGAAATACCTTCTACTAACTTGCCTTGGAACAGAGACGTGTACAAATCTCGTGGCATATTTGTCATGTCAGCGCTAGAAGGTCACCAATGTTGTTTTCTCCTCTGCCACCCCCCTCCCCAGTTCAATTTGCTCTCTGTGTTTTGACCTTAATAATCTAAAATGCCTTTGAGCAGCTAGTTTCAACTCTGTTGACTGTTAAAGTGACAGTGCAAATAGCTTTCTGAGAACCCTCTTCGCAGATTCGCCCTTTCTTCTGCATGTGTAGCTGAGCACTTTGCCACCTTACAGAGCACGTGAGGGGTGGGCTTGCTCCCCCACATCTTCTCCCCTGCACATTACTAGCCCAGATTATGGGGGGTGTTAAATCTGCTTTTCAGTATGCTGAAGAGAAGAAAAACTCCTGCCTATCTCAGTGTAGAAACTGGATAAATGCTCTTCACAAATACAGACATGTACATACATGGTCCTCCCCCTTGCTTGGGTGTAGGGGAACCCCTCTCAACCTGACAGGCAGATTCCATTTTGCAGGGCCAGCTCCCTGCTAGCACATTGTAACTTAAAGCTCTTAATTGCTAATATCAAACATCTTAGGAGGTGCAGTTCCCCATTTCAGAATGAAGGGAGAGGCAAGTACCAAAGCTGGGGGACCAGCAAATGGTTGGAGTTAAGGAGAACATAAGTGTGACCATCTTTGGTGCCCTGGAAGGCTGGCTTTGGCCCTGAGACATGTGGCCTTTTTTTCCTATCTTACTGTTTCAATTCAGAGCTTACAGGTGGTTTGTTGACCAGTTCAACATAGGTGTTTTAACATAATGTCTGATTTTTGCCTATCTGTAGATTTATGGAAAACTATTGTGTTCCTTGATTAACAGTACCACTTCCTGTGAATGGGCTATTGAAGGTGTGTTTTGACTTGGTTTTTGTTGTCTTTGCAGTTATCACAGGCTGCTCCTTCCCCAGGCGATGTGGAGAAGCGACAGAGTGACGGTAAGGCACTGCTCTTCTTTCTGTGCTCTTCTTAGGTGGATAACTTACAAGTGGCCAAAAGGTGGAAGATGGGCTGCAGAGGTCAATGTTTGCAGTGCAGTGTGTTAGATGGGTTGTTTCCTCATTGATGTTTCCACCGTCTGGAAGTGCATAAACTCATGGGATTGTACCAGGACTGGGGAACTTGTGGCACCTCTAGCTGTTGCTGGGCTCCCAACTTGCATCTGGTCCAGACATGGCCAGCAGCTGGGGATGATGGAATTAGAGTCCAGCAACATCTGGAGAGCCCTCAAGTTGGTACACATTCACATGAAATGGAAAACAAATGGAACTGTCAGGCTGCCTTCAAGATATCCCAGCTTGTTTTTTCATTAAAACCCTCGAATAAAGCATTACTCTCCTTATGAAGGTGACCATGATGACAACCCAGGTTTTGCCAAATCTTATAGACAATAAAATGAGTATTAATTTGTGTATGCCTAGGATGCCTTTTACTTTGGGTGAATTAAAAAAATAACCCTCTTCTTGGTAGCTTAGTGAAGAACTACTGGAGAATTTGCCACAATGATTAGGGGAAGGTTTGATTCCTTTTTAACTTGCCTCTTTGCTGCTGGCAGACCTTTGACCTTGGTTGTTTTGCTCAGGCACAACAGCACGGTACCCAACTATTGGTCAATGTTTGACTCTTCCAAGATCATATCATGGGCAAACCTGGATCAGGAAATAAAAGAAGGGGTAACTTCCCAGGAAACATTCTTTCCATAGTAGGAATAGAACTAGATGTATCTGTTTCTGCAAAGGCTGCTGTCCTATATATGCATATGTGAAGGAAAACACAAGTGAATCAATTGCGTGGGGCTTGGTTCTGAGTGATTGTGGAAAGGATTGTGAGAATTGTGTGTTAGGGCACATGATTCAGTTGAGGCTACGAGTTTTGTACAAGGCAGGGCATGGCTACTGATCTCGCCCAGAACATTGCTAAATATCAGTGTTACGGAATAGCAGCAAAAGGAAGCACATTCTGGCATTTTGGTTGTTGACAGTTTCACCCTGCCTGGGACTAGGATGTTTTGGCCGTCTTCACTAAGAAAGAAGGTGGCAGTTTGCATGCATTTGAGTTTTAACAAATGCCAGGCTCTTCCCAGACCTGATTCAGAAAAGTAAAGTGGGTACTGCAAGGGACCACAAATTTTTGTTCTTGCTACAAGGAGCCTCTGAGGGAGGGAGAACATCAGACACACTCCTTACCAAAGCATTCTTTGTCCTGCAAACTGTATGATATGTAAAAAGATGGACAAGGTAGAGATGCTGAAGGCATGAATGGCAAAAGTAAAAAGGTGGAGCCAGATTGGGATTCATCCAGTAAAGCAAGCAGAGTTTTTCTTTTGACAGGTGGCTGACTCACCTGAGGGAGGTTTGCTCCCTAGTTCTCAGAGGGACCTCCCTTGCATAATATGATGCATTGATTCAGGCTTGGGATTAGCCCTGGCAAACTTTGGACCTTTAGGCAGTACAGTCTCCACCCTCATCAGAGAGCTCCCAGTTACTACTAGTTTCCAGTTTTACTGCTGTGAAAATCTACAGTAGTGTTCATATCCCCTTCTTAGTTTGGGACGTCCGGGGAGTGGCACTGCTGCTGTTCTCAGTGGTGGGCAGCAGGGGGCAGCCTCTCATCTTGCCACAATCAGCTTTTCAATTGCAACAAAGTTTTTGGCTGGGCAAACTAGAGGCACATTGCCAGAGGCGTACAGGAGAGCAAAGCTGTTAACAGTGCACCCATTTTGTATTGTTGCCTAATTCTTGTTCATGATGGGACTGTTGAACACTTGCCTTTCTGCAGATTAAAAACCCTGCACTCCAAGTTAATTTTTTTTTCACTGAATGGGAGGGGAATGGTTTGATCTGGATCATGGAGCTGGCTAGGGAATCAAGCTTCTCACCCTGATTCTGGAGCATTATTAAACGTATATGCATAACCTCTGCTTGCTGATACATAGGAAATATGTTCTGGTTTGGGAATGGAAGCTTGCTTTGTTTCCCTGAGCTTTCCTATACCAACACAGACCTCAGGTTTTGATTAAGTGAATCCATTCTGGGAATAGCCTCCGCATGGACCCTCCTGCTGAGGCCAGAGCTGTGAGATCAGGTCTTGGCTTTGCCTGGGAAGAGTGCTGTCTGCATTAACCCACAGGGGCAATTCAGCCAGGCCACCCCATGGGGAGAGAGCAGCACAGCAGCGCCACACTTCAGGCCAGCAGGTCCTCTGAAGTATTGGATGAAGTGGCCCAGAGAGAATCCAAGGAGGTCTGTCTGCTTGCTTCAAGGGAAGAAGGCTTCCCTCTCAAGTATACTCGTACATATAAGGAAAAACTAGTATTGGTGGGATCGCTCTTTGAACAGTGTGAGCTTCTTGCTGAGAGCAGCCAGTTCGACCTTGTCCTTTTGTTCTGTGTCGAATACCAGTTCTAGAAGATGCTGTACACTGGGATTGTCCAGCACTAGCAGTTAAACATGCTCTGAGTTTTCTGAGGGAATGTGGTGATATCTTAAGATTTTCAAAATTATGATGCTAATGAGTGGTCAGTTAAAGCCTTAGCTTCTTTCTGTGATGTCCTTAAATGCATCCGTTATTTTAAAACATGGTCAGTTCCAGTATCAAGTGATTGACTGGCGAGTCCCCCTTTTTATTCCTTATCTGAATGTCACTGGAATATTTTGGACAGTGGAAACAGACACATTACCTTCTTTGGATCTTCTTCACCCTACTGTGCTATAGCTCTTGGTACCCTTACATTTTCTCATGTGACATCGCCAGGCCTTAGGTTCATATTTATTTTTTATATAGGCTAATCTAGGAACTTCAGTTTAAAATGCGATAAGGGAATAATGCTTTTGCTACTGTCAAAGGCAATGGAAATTGCCTTTGTGACAATGTACAGTCAGTGACCTATGCAAATGAATCGTATTGAACTTGGAATACATACAAGTGTTAGACCTAGACTTTTGCATACTTCATCTGACAAGCAGAATATTCCTTACTGGCCATGTGTGCTCCCAGGGCCCCTTTTTAGTCTCCGAATTCTCGAGAGAGTAAGCTGCCCTTGTAGGGATGTGGATGCCCTATCGGCTCTCTCACACTGTCATGCTGGGAACTCGCGCAACCCTCTACATCTCTTAGAGTGGGTCAAAACTGATTGGCTTTTGTGTTGCAGCATGGGTGGAAAAGATCTCAAATTGTTGGTGCCTATAGTTTCTTGGCACAGGCACTTTTTAAAGTAATAGTCACATGTTTAATGGACTATTAATCTGAAATTTTTTTTTTACCATAATGGGCTCCTTGCTTCCTAATGTTAAGAAAGGTGTGAATAATCAGCAGTGTGGTTACGTGTCTGGCTGTGTGCCGGCAAGTTTACAGGCGCTAAATTGTTTAATTCTCCAGTTTATAGATAGCTGCATTTTAAGGTTAAGGTCACCCTGAAGGGGAACAAGGAGGTGGTGGCACAGGCTGAAGCAGAGCGAGTATGAGAGGCCAGTGCTGGACTTTGAGCTGGGCAGTGGGTGGGGGGGGGAGGTGTGGGGGGCTCTCCTTTTCTCCAGGAGGACTGCCAGTCACTACACATTTTTCCTGCCTGAGCCACTGCCTCTTTTAATAGGCACTGAGGCTCTGCAGCCCAGGCTCCTCCTCTGTTGAACCTGCTGCCAGTAGCACCGTGACCTGTCAGCGCCACATGACCAAGACTTAACTCTCTGCAATTAATCAAGAGCCATGAGAGTCCTGCAGCTTCTGCACATTCTCTCCCACCCACCCCTGCCCCGGTGCTTCAGTGAAGCAACCTTTATGCCGGCTTGTCACAGTTCAGGACTCTGCAGAAGTGCTTACTAGTTCCTGTTTTTTCCATGATGCAAGCAGTTTGCATTAGTTATCACCCTGGGTTATCAAACCTGCCACTATGGGATTATGTATATGGTACGGGCCTATGATCTGAAAGCAACAAAGCACACTTCAGACGCTTATCTCCTGCCATGTCTGCCCATGTGCTAAGCCCCATTACCCACTTCCTTGTACAACAGTTTGTGTGCGGCACAAATGAGCAGCGTTCCCTGCTGTGGCAGGCAGCGTATTTGCAAGCCTGCGGCGTGATCGCAGGAGGAGGCTGGCACAGAGCTGCCCCTTCTGTGGTAGGTTTCCCAGACCTCTGTCCTGGCAAAGCACTGCAGTGATCCTTTGGCACAACGTTGGGCAATTTTGGTGTGGAAATCCATTCAGGCGGCAGCATTTGCAATGTACTCCCTTGGCATACCCAGCAGGAAAGATTAGAGCTGAGATGGTTGCACTCTGTTTCCTTTCCTGTTTTACTAGCCGGGTGTTTATAGCCCTGTCAATATCATTGGTGCTGTTGAAATACAATATAGCAGCCTTTCCCAACCTGGTGCCCTGCAGGTGCTTTGGTTTTCAACTCCCAGCAGCCCCAGTCAGCATGGCCAGTGGTCAAGAATGCTGGGAAATATAGTCCAAAACACTTGGAGGGCACCAGGTTGGGGAAAGCTGTAATACATAACGTTGTGGCTGGATCCCAAATCTGATAGTCCATACAAATATATACAACACTGAATATAAAACTACCAACAGTGATGCACAGCACTAATATTATATAGCAAAAATAAAGGTAAAATACTTTGAATCAATAATAAAATGCACATAGCTGGGCTATGAAGCAGGGAAGGGCTGAGGGAGTGGGTATGTCTTAAGCAAGCAGGTCCCAAAAATCCTAGCAGACAGTGGAGTTCCACCAGGCAGAAGCTGCAGAACCACAATTGCTGGTCTTAGTGGTCTCAAAGAGAAGTTCTGGGCCCGGAATAGGCAACTTTGGAGGGCAAAGGGCCACTCCAGACCCCAATCTTCTCCCCACATGGGCTGCACTCCTGCTACCACATGACTGGATTTGCGGTGGTGACAGAAAATTGACTTGTTGCCAGACTTCAGCAGCAACCCATTACAAAATGGTGCAAAATAACAGTTTAGCTTGTTTTCAAGCTTAAGTATGCTGTCCTTACCCTTATGGAGTGGTTTGCCACTGAAATCCGGCGGCATGTCACCTTTTTTGCTGTGAATTTTGGTGGCTCAGTATTAGCTCCAGGGAACTGCTTCTCTAACGAGCTTTGCCCTGGTGCTCTGACTTCTGCTGCTCTTCCAGGCCTTGTAATTTACTTTAGTGTCCGTATTGCAAATGCATTCTCAGTCTGGTTGCAAATGATTCAGCAAATCCTCTTTCTCCACCTCTACCCAGTCTGCTTCTCTTTTGGGACTTTAAGTGCATTTAAACTCGTCTAATCAATGGTATATTTGAGTGAGCCCATAATGAGGACACATGGAAAGAGCACTGACTGCAGGGTCTTTAGGTCACTTGCCTATGGCCTTGCTACTGTATTGTCCTGAGTCATCTTAAAAAGGAACTTTGACAGACTTCAGGAAATAGAAAAGTAATTTCTTCTTACCTCTCTCCTCCTCCTCCTCCTCCTCCTCCTCCTCCTCCTCCTCCTCCTCCTCCCTGCTTTCATCTTATTTTGTAGTGATGTCATTTATGGAAGTTTTCGCTCGCAGTACCTGCAAGCCAATTGAGACCATGGTGGATATTTACCAGGAGTACCCTGAGGATGTGGAACATATCTTCAAGCCATCCTGCGTTCTTCTGATGAGATGTGCAGGGTGCTGCAATGATGAGTCACTGGAGTGCACACCTACGGAGGTGGAGAGCGTCTCCATGGAGGTGAGGCGATGACTGAGTGATAGAAAGGAACTGGGGAAACAACCTACAGAGCTGTGGGGTGGTTTACCTCATGGGGCCTGCACCACCTTACAACTCCTTCCAGCACCTCAGCTGCCTCTTGGCTTTGGAAAGAGTGCAGAATGCCTTTCTTGCTTTGCATTTGAATTGCCCTGGTGCCACACCCTGAGGACTTTCACTTGGCTAGTAGTCCTAGGAGCACAGGAAGTTGCCCTGTACTGAGTATACCTAGAATGGTATGGCTGACTTGGATTGGCAGTAGCTTTTTAAGGCTTTGAGAGTTTCCCTTGCATTACTGGGACATGCCAGGGATCAAGCCTCCATGCAAAGCATGGATTGGATCACTGAGCTCTTGAAGTCAAGAGAGATGCAAACAAAAGGGGCTTTGCATCAGGAAACAGGAGATTGTGTTAGTGGCCTCCGTTTCATCTGGGGGTGGGTGGCTCTGTAGTGGTCTCTTGTGCTTTGATCAGCAGCTTGGTAAGAAGTAGGTTGCTGTGCACTGCTTTTAGAGTGGCTGGAATCGGCCAGCTGCAGTTGAAAGGTGCCTTGGCGTTCAACTGCTTGACAACCCTACTTGGGTGGGTTTGAAGGTCAGGGCCATGCTGGATCAGATCATGGGTCCACCTAGTCCAGCATTTTCTTCATACAGTGGCTGATTGTCCGCAGGAAACCCCCAAGCAAGACATGAGGGCAACAGCATCCTCCTGCCCCTACACCCCAGCAACTGCTGTGCATAGGCACACTGCCTCCAGTGCCGGAGATGGCATATCCCTGTTACCTGACCTTTGTGCAGCTTGTTTGCAGATCAACTTGAAAAAGCTGGACATCCTTGATATAGGTTACTGTCCCTTCCCTAGTGTGATTTGCTCCTTACCAGTTGCTAAGGGGAATTGGTTGTCTAAGTTACCTTAAGTCAACCTGGTAGTTATATGCAGAGTTGTATGTTGATACAGATAGCATTTGTCTCTGGTGGCCTTTTAAGAGGACATGGCTCTGAAAACCTTCCCTGCACATTGGGCCTACCTTAACTCTTGTTTTTGCTTCAGTACATCACAACCCAAGCTCCTAGGGAAGCAGCTTGTGGTGGGTGAACTGTCTCAAGAGCTGGCCAAGCCAAGGTTCACTGACACAGCAGGGTAGGAAGTGCCATGGTGCAGTTACAGATGGGAGAGCACCCTTTCTAAAATATGATAACCTTTTAGTCACCCCAGAAAGGAAGCTTTGCAAAGGCCAAGCATACTGTCAGGGTATATGCCCCTAATATACGCCCTTTATGCAAGCTGGTATGCCTCTGTTAGCCTCAGTTTCTGTCTCCCCTGCTCGACTTTTGCAATCTTGATCTGCTCCCAAATCCACTCTTGTGCATGTGGAGTAATCCTGCTGATTACCGCCCCCCCTCACCCCGTCATCACTTACAGATGTTGCCTTGCCATTCCAGATCCAGCCTGTTGAAACAGTGTAAATACTGTGGTGGTTTTTGTGGTGCTGACCCAAGACCACAAGTGGCTGTGTTGATTCCAAGGAAACCAAATCTACTGATGACCTTGGAGAAGCCTGGAGTTGCATGTGAAGCTGGCATCCCTCCTGTTAATCTTTCCTACAATGCCATCTTTGTGTGGCATTTCCCAGAGCAAAGAAACAGGCCTCTGCATGGAAGTGTGGATAATCTAGGATTGCTCTCTGCCAGGCATAGAGTGCTAATGAACTTGCACTTCAAGCGGCTTAGTGTCAGCACCTTAATAGGTCTAGAGTGGCGGGCAGCATGCACATGGTTTCCACTTGCATCGCCTTTATAATGAATGCACCACTGTTCACTGGCATTGCTAGGTAGAGACACACACATGTCTCCATGCACTGACAACATGTAGTTCAGGTTCCATTGTATTAGTTCCTTTGCAGAGACAGTCACTGCCACAGACCTGTTTGAGTCTGTATTCGCCCAAGTAAGGTCTCCTCATGTGGGCATCTAGTTTCTGGAATCTGAGCGCCATTTTGTCTCCAAAGAGGACTACCCTGTCTTATCTGTGAACAGACACTACGCCTGTGAGAAGGAGGGGGCCTGGTAGCTAAAATTCAACCCAATATCATTTAGCGGTATGGAAGGTGAGAAATCTGTAAATCTTGTAATCTGTAATATTACAGTCTGTAATATATTGTCCATGTGATGCCTGTTTGTGTGTGTGCTCTTAAAAGATTTATTATGTTGGCCACCTGGATCAGGAATTGTTCAACTTTGCATTTCCTTGTTCCATTAGAAGACAATCCTCATCCTCTCTAGGTATGTTCATAAGTAAACATGTTGAGTTCAGTAGGATCTACTTTAGGGTCGTTTAGTATATTATTGAGACCTAAAGACACAATTGTATATACATTTAGAGGGAATAAAACTTTCAGAATGCTGGGAGTTGTAGGACTTTTCACATCTAAGCATAGATAGGATTATGTCTTAGTTTTGCCATTGATTGAGTTTTGCCATAGTATTATTTTTTCTCTTGGGTTTGAGGTGCTTGAATGTGACCATTCTGTGAATGTGACTCATCCGATTCCTTCTTTCCTCTCCCTCTGCCATTTCTTTCATTCTAGATCATGAAAATTAGACAACTTCAGAGTCAAGGTGTAACTCAGATGACCTTCCAACAGCACACGCGTTGTGAATGCAGGTGAGACTAAAGAACCTTCCTGGTTGCATTTGGAGCAGGACTGATTGGGTTATGACTGTTGTGATGGGCATCCAGCATTGCAAGTCAAATTGTACTGGCTGGGGGAGGGCTGTGGTTAATGAATTCAGGCTTGACCAAGGGCATATATGTCCTTAGTGGCACAATTTTCTTAATGGAATAGTCACCAGCTGTTGTGTGTCTTCACTGCATAGTGCAGACTGAAAATCTAGAAGATGGAACAGCTGGTTGAGAAGCATCTTAAGAGTGGCCAAAGAGCCAGAAGTTGGTAGTTGGTGCTCTTTTACAAACTGTCATAGCATATGTGAACCTTTCCACCATCTGAGGCCTTATATCTTTGGACTATAACTCTTGTCTACCCCAGTGGTCGGGGATCGTCAGGGATGTTGAAGGTTATAGTCCAGAACATCTGGAGGGCTAGGGAGACATCTGGTTGGGCTAATTGTCAGCAAAGGCAAAGATCATCGAAAGAGTGGGGCTAAGATGGTAGACGTGATGCCTGTGTGTTTAGTGTTTGGTTCCCACCTGATGATGATCCTCTATTCTTCCCTTGTAGACCAAAGAAAGACATCAGAACTACACAAGAAAAGTAAGTGACCTAGCTTACATTTCTTCCCTCTTTGGTGTTGGAATTCCCCTGTCCTTCTCTGTTGATTGGAAACAAGAGCGGTTCTCTTCAGAGCTGCACCTTGAATCCATTCCTTGTGGACAGACACAAATGTGTAGCTTTGATTGCTGTTGCTGCTTTTCTGCTTGAGGACACTCTGAGATTGCTTCCTTATAATATTGCGTGAAGAACAGCAAAGGAGAAACAGAATCCCCCCTTTGGGAATGGATTCTGGGTGAATGCTTCCTTCCATGTGCCATTGCCACTGTGAATGCTGGAAATCATAGCCTTTCTCTCTCTCTCTTGCCACTTGAGGAACATTTGGTGACTTATTCACAGCAGCTTAGATCCCTAACATCAACGCTGTGGATGTGAGCTTTGCTGCCTCTCTGCCAAGCAGGAGAGAGCAGCCATCCATTGAAAAAGCTGAAAGTTGAACCCCCATCTGGGTATGACCAGTGATCATGATGGTGATCACGATGGGTGGAATGAATCAAATAAAATGACTCAGGCTGACCTCCTTGACCAGACTTCTTCAACTTGATGCTGTTAAGATGTTTTACTCTACAACTCCTATCGGCCATGCTGGTTGGAGCTTATGGGAGGATGTAATCGAAGACACCTTGAAGGCATTGAATTGGAGAAGGCAGTGGGTGGGTTGCCTCATGGGAATCAGACTGGCTGAGGCTCCAATGTGTAGCAAAATTCTGCTTTCAGCTTTGTGTAGTCTAAAGCAGTGTTGAATGAACAAATGAAGAAGAAAAATGACAGAATGTCTGTCTTCCAAACAATATCAAACATGGGTAAATTTCACTCATACCTTATAAACACTCTATACAAGTGCATACCTGCAATAGGAGGGCATGCGTAGAAATAAACTCTCTGATTTGGTAAGGAAGCTTGGCAGAAGCGGGGAGAGAGAGAGGGGGGTAGAATCCTAATGGCCGCTTTGTTGCTCTTCCCGTGTTCCAGCCTTCCCCCTGGAATTCACTTTGTGACGCTCTCATGGGGATAGCCCAGGGATGGCTTGGCTTGTTCTCTTCAGACTGCGTAGAAGAGTTGTTTTCCGCTGAATGGCAAACTGACTTAACTGTGCGTGAGTGTGCTGCCGCAACCCAGTGAATGCTGGTCCTCGGGATGTGGCCGAAGCCCCCCATTCCTTCATCGTGACTTTTTCTGCCTCCTCTGTTGCCCAAGCTTCAGGTGGCTGCGCATCGCTTTGCAGCTCTAACATCACATGGGCATTCTGGTTTGGGTTTTGCTGAAAGTCGTCCTGGTCTTGATGTTTTTCTGGGAGCAGGGGCTGTTTCTGGTTCTTCCCCAGAGATTTCCCCAAAAAGTATAATTTCTTCTGCCCCCCCTCCCCCGCCTGTAGTTCCAGCTGTGTTCTTGGGATGCTTACAGTTAGGAGGGAGAAATGAATGCTCACCAGTGGGGTTGAACACAGCCCAGGAGAGATCTTCTCAGTTGCTCTCAAGGGCAACCTCATCATTATAGCTTCTCCTTTCTACGTGGTGAAGATGTACTGCCTCTGGGAGAAGAGAATACAGAAGTGGGAGTGAGATGGAAGGACCCTCTCTGAGCACTTCTGTCACAAGGGCTTGTTGCCTGAGCTTTGCCTGCCTTCTTTCTCATGAGCATTTCTCCCTTGGTCTCATGTTAGCATGGGTTCTGCAGTTACCCTGACTTCCACATGGTTATGGGGAGTTAGAGTGAAGCATTCTTTGCTGCTGATGTTCCAAAGAGACACACATAGGAAAGGGCTTGGAGTTTTGCCTGGCATTTTAGGTAGGGCTTGAAAAATATCTCATATGAAATCACAGGGCAGGGTTGGGGGACCTGTGGCTTTCCAGATGTGGGACAGAAACTCCCAGTTGGAGGGCCGCAGTCTGCCCACCTGGCCTAGAGAATTTCTGCCAGTCAGTGACCTTGCCTGCACAGCACAGTAAGCTGGTATTTATTTATTTATGTCTTTATTTATTATTTATTTATGTCTTTATTTATTTATATTAATCCTGCCTTTTTCCTTTCAAGAAACTCAAGGCAGCTTACATAATTCTCCTCCTCCTCCTCCCTCTTACCATGTTGTGCAAACCCTGCACAATGGCCTGGTATAGGTTGGTAACCAGAAACAAGCCACATCAAGAGCCCATGGCTTTTTGTTGGGCTGTTGATAGTAGCTTGTTAAAACCATAGACTGTCATGATGTGTGGACATGCGACTGTCATTCAGGGGTTGTGCCAGAAGGCTACAGGTTGCCTGGCCAAATCCTTTCTGCTGCACAGTTGATTGAAATCTTCCAGGCAGTTGCTGTGACAGCATGTTCTTGTCACACCCCCTCATCCCTCTTGGTTTGCTCATCCCACCTCCCTTCTGCATTTCATTGCTTCCCAGGAAAGTGGTGTGTCGTGTGCACACTGCATTCTGTTAACTCAATTGCTCTTATCTGTGCTGAGTGACCTTGGAGAAGATGGCTCAGCTTCCAAGTTTAGTTGTGTCTACATCCCATACTGCTGAAAAACAATACCAAGTGTGGCACTTCTCAGCTTTTAAAGATGCTTTAAGGGTAGGGAATGCTTGAGGCTATCTAAATATTTAGAGACAGAATTGGAGACTTATTGAAACTTGCATCTTGCATCCCCAACATCTCATGTTCAGGACCAGGCCTTGACCTGCAATCCCTCCTTGCAAACAGAACAATGTTAGTAATCTAAGGCTCAGCTGAAGGTCTTCTTGCTTCTGGGGGTGTGGAAACCAGTGGGATGGGAGCTGCTTCTGAAGTAGCCCACTCCAGAGCTACATGGCTTACAGCTACTTTTTCTGACATGAACCAGCCATGGCTCAGAAGGTTCTATACTTGGCAGAGTTCAAAATGGAGGCAGTAGACTACTTGCCCCCTCTTTCACCTGCGGCGTCCTCTCAGGCATCACAAGTGCCTCAAGTGATGGTGGCACCTTCTTATGCCCAGGCCACTGAAGAATGCCAAAGCTACAAAAGATGAAATAATTCTGGACTGATGCTGAACTAGGCATATTGATTGAACTCTGGATCAGTCCAGAGGCACAAGAAACCCTACAGTGTAGATTGTATGATGTTCTGATACTCATTTTTTTGAAAAGTACAAGGAAAAGCTGCACCGGCTGAAGAGGTTTATGGAAAGAACCCACAAGTGGTTGAGTGTTGAGCTGATCTTATGACAGGCTATTAATTGTCTTGCTGGAAAGGAGCATGTGACACCTAATCATACAGCTTATGGCAGAATTCCATTGCCACTATGACCAAGACGTAGCCATTGCCCCACCCCCAAAGGCAACCCCTTCGCCCACCTGTGATTCCTCCTCTGCTCCATCAAGGAAAGTATATGCAGCATGGACAGTGAGGATGCTTGGACCCCCCCCCCCCAATGTGTCATGGCCACATAGAAGCAGCATTATGCCACATCATATTGGCTACCGTTTCACAAGCCAGCTTATCCCTCCAGCAACTGGAATTGTTGGCGTAAGACATTTGTGGAGCCCGGTACCTGGTCTGGGAGTGGATCACTGCTTTCCTTGCAAGCTTGCTCCAGGGACAGGGGCCCAACTTACTATTCCAGCACTAGCAGACTCACAGGGTTTCCTACAGTGCAAAGAAACTCATCCATACCTGCCTGGGCATCCCTGGCTTCTTCCAAGTGCAGGATGCGGAGACGGCCGTTTGGGAAGTGCTCTGGAGCACTTTTCCAAGAGAAATGCACCCTGGACTTGATCTCCCTTCAGATGTCGGCACTTTCAAGATGCCTGAAGCCTGCCTGCCATCTGTGGGTACCAGCCTGCCAGCTTTCAAAATACAGAGCAGCTCTCACGCCACGTGATAGTGGATTTTGACGTGCACAGGCACTCCATGTGTACAGGCCTTCCAGAGCTGGCTGAAGGGGTGTGTGGAGGGAGGGAGGAGCAGGCAGCAGGAATGAAATGGACTTGGTTTGTCTGTTTGCTGACCCTCCAGAGGCAGGAGTGGAGGAATTGGCTGAATTTGAGCAGCAGCTGTTGTGAAGGGCAGAGCAGCTACCAGTGGAGGAGGAGAGAACCACTCCAAGAGAGGCTGCAGAAGTGCTGGGGGAAAGGATAGAGGACCCGGCATTGGCTAATGTTCAAAGAGAGGCACAGTAAAGGAACAAATGGAAAACTGAGTATGTGGAGCTTGCAGGGCCTTGGTTCCTCCCACAGCAGTATCTGCAGAATATACATAAGAACTTTTCCAGGAACTCCACACTCAGAAGCATAGCTGGAGAACACTTGAATCTTTTGGGACTGTATCGGCAACACACCGCTCAGAGCACCTGCAGTTCAGGAGAGTCGGTGCACGAAGGCTTGTACTGGAGAGGGCTGTGGCAGAATGAGCTGTGGCTGTGGAAAGGCAGAATGGTGTTGTGCCTGAACTACCAGCAATCTTAGAAGCAGCTGTCCAGGGACAACAGTCTCCCGGTTAATATGCCTACATAGACAGACTCCCACAGCAGTTTCTGCATCCGCCTGGCCAGGCTCCATTTCTGCCAGAGCCTCAGCTGCCTTTTGAGCAGCGTGCTTTGCTACAGCTACCATGGCTACACCCCCAAGACTCTTGCCCTCCTTGTGTCACTTTGGGCTGTGATTTTGGGGTGTGGTGCACAGATCCTACAGTGGGACCACAGCTCAACCAGCTGCTGTGGGATGCGATAGATGTTGGGACCAGTTGGGAAAGCAGAGCCAGTGCGGATGAGACTATGCATGTATGAGAAGGCCCGGACGTTCAGTGGCGGCAGCAGTGGGCTGTGATTCATGACGTTACAGCAGAAATAACTGTTCAGTTCTTCTATGATCCCTTCTAATGGTACCTGTGCCTCCAGTTGGCATCCAGCCACTCTAGTGCATTTCTTCCTGGGCTGGCACATTCTGCTTTGCAGATACTGACATTAAATAGAGAGATTGCTTGGGTGCTGCAGCAAGTGCACAGAGGCTGGAGAACATGATCATAAGGCCAAGCAATGCAGGCTGCAATCCTGGTTAATGGAATGGATCACAGGGGTCTGAGCAGGCAGAGTAAATGTTGCAGCTCTTTTGTCTCCTGCCCCTGCTGGTCCCTGCTAGCACTGCCTCCTTCTCAAGCTGCCTGAACAATCAACCAGCAGTCCGTTCAGCTGCCTCCTTTGCCCACCCTCTCTCTTGATCAAGGGTTTCACTACCCAGAGCTGGCAATCACTTGCGCCTCTCTCTTGCGAGATACAAGTTCCCCAGCCATGCCTGTTCCCATCAGTTCTGTAATAGTATCCTAAAATTCAAACCTGAGAAGCAAATTGGCAATTGTGGCTGCCATGCAACGGTTCTGCAGTGCTTCATGCAGCATTGCGAGAAGCAGAAGAAACTGCTCCTCTCGTGGCTCCTGTCCTGTTAGCAGCTGTGCAAGCCTTTCAGTAGCTTCTCTACCAAGTTGGATCAGTGGAAGGACCAGTGATGTGGTTTGGAAGAGATCTGCAGTATGCTCACATGAACTCTCCATCTGATGCACCAGAGGATGGTGGAAAGGGCACACTTGGCTGTAGCAACTGTGCCTAGGGTTTCGCACCTGACTGCAGGCTTGCGCTTGCTGTGCTCTGGGCATGCGTACTTGGGGTATATGACTGGGATGCTGCACCTTTCTACTGAGGTTTCTGGCTATACCAGTCATAGGCTGCACTTGACCCAGTAACTGAAGGCATCGGCCCAGCAATTCAGAGATGAAATGCAGCAGTTCACCCATCTGTTCCAGGCAGAAAATAAGGTGCTTGCACTGTACAAACCGGCATTCAACCTGGGCTGCTTTCTGCACAGCACCACCTTTAGTGTCTGGAAATCACAGCCTGCAAGATTTTCAGGTAGATGTTACAAATCCTGAATCTACATCTTGCTAATGTAATCAAAGTAGAGATTTGAGGAAAACCTGCTGGAAGGATTCTGTGAGATTGGGTGAACCCTGGAGCCTCTTTCTTTTGACTCCATATGTGAAAGATTCCAAGTATTCCAATTTTCCCACAGCAAGGGCAGGTTCTTGGGCATGTGCAGTAGTGTCTCCAGGAGAAGCCACAACACAGTGGCCTTCTGGAATGCAGCAGTGGCAGATAATGTAGCCACACTCTTTGCTATGTTTATCCTATCAGTGGATGGGTTCCCAGTGCATCCTCTCAAGTAAGGGAACCAGGTGTTAGTGCTTCAGTGGCTCATGTACCCATCCTGCACCCCGAGGAGGCCCAAAGGAGAGAAAAAGAACCTTCTACTGCCACACTAGGGTGACACTATCAGTGGAGAGATGGTTTGAGAGAATCTGTGCTCTCTTTACATCATTCTGGATGTTACGGAAGACCTAGAAGTGGATGTTAACAACGTACACTGCATCCTTCACAAATCTGTGAATCAGGGAAGATGTGCTCCTGCAGCAGAACTTGGAGCTGCTGAGACGCAGCCATGAGAACATTTCCATTGCCATCAACACCAGCTTGCTCCACACCCTCTGAATCCTTGGTCAGAAAAGGCATCACCATGAAGAACAAGCAATGTAGCTACAGCTGACTTCACCTGGGACCATTCGTTGTACATTATCTATGGCAGAGTATTGTATGTATCTGTGCCAAGAGGCACTCAGGACTGTTGGTCGGAGCGCATAGTGAGTAGCATGCCCTCATGGAGGGTTCAGCAGCACTGCTTTCACAGCTCCACACTAAATCAAGCACTTGCATGCTTCATATGTAACTTCATCTTGTATAACCTGAGAAATCAGTTAGTAAACAGTGCATTGGAATTCTGAGTCAGGTGTGTTTCTTGGCCTTTGTGGAGGGGCAGAGGCATGACTGGTCCAGGCAGGAGGCAGTTGGTGGAGGAGGAGGAAGGATTTGGGGTTCCAGGATCAGCAAGTGTACACAAGGGGACGTCATCGCATTTCCCCTGAGGCCGCTTCTTAGCAGTCAGCCCAAGGGGGTGGGGGTAGAATTTACTGCTACCTTGAAGTGGCCCCTAGAAGGAAGTGATCAATCAGTGTGGGGGAGGACGGAACTGGCCAATTAGGTACTGAAAGTGGACTTGAGTTCTGTAGCATCTTCCAGCACCAAGCCAAGATCCATAAGCATGTGAGAGGAGCAGAGCAGGAAGAATAATTCCTCTGGCAAGAAAAGGCATCGGGGCAAGCAAGAGGGCATTTACTGCTAGTAAAAAGTTTCCAGTGGGAAGCAATTGGTCCAAGCAATGATGGAGCAGACAGCAATGGAAATGGGAGCATTCCAGGAGCAGCCAAAAATAATGCACACACAGAGCATAGTAATGGCAAAGAAGGTGCTGACATAGCAAAGTCCTGCCAGCAGTTGCCTGCCCTCAACTACCTCAAAGGCTCCAGGAATATGTGTTATGAATGGGTGGGGAGGGCACAAGAAAACGACCCCCCATAAACTGCTAATTGCTCAATTTTTTGATGGCCACATTGTGACTTAGCCATGGGTTAAACAACCCACTGTGGCTTAATATTCCCATGTAATATGTGAATTGATCTAGTGTGTAGACCAGCCATTCTTCAACCTGGTGCTACTCCAGCCATGGTATGATGGTAGTTGCAGCCTCTAACATACCTGGAGTGGCATAAAGATGAGAAAGGCTGATGAGAACAGCACTAAGCCAGAAGGATCAGGGGTTCAACCCTGGCATGAGGCAGCACACCTCCTTAACTCTTAGTGAAACGATGGAAAAAATCATCCTCGTCTCTGCTTTCCCTTGTCTCTACCACTGTGAGTTGGCACCAATTTCTCTGCTTCAGGAAGGGCCTGCGTCATCTCGTAAGGGGCGATAGCTGGGGAAAGTTTCCTTGCCACTCGTACATCACAGGTTGCCAACAGGGACTGAGAGGCAAGTGAGAAGTAGCAGTTGAGTTGAGGTCCTCTTCTCGAATCGTTCTTCACCTGAGCATGGCTGCTCTATTCTCAAGGGTTCGTGTGAGGCACCGGTGGCAGTGAACACTATGCTGGACTCAGGCAGGTCATGAGAGCACTTGTCTCCAGAGCGAGGTTGAGGGGAGACTGAACACGTGCACTTTTCACCCTAGAATGCGAAGCCACCTCCCTTTCCGCTTGTTGTCAGCACAGCTGGTGTCTGCTTTCCAGTTGTGCTGTGGAACCTTTATAGAGGGCTCTCCTGAGGGCAGCTGCAGCACCTGTTGAGATGAGTCAGGCGCAGAGGTGTGAAAACCTGGGAGAAAAGAAAAATATTCCAAAAATAAAAAATAAAAGTGGATAGGAGAAGGTCTTTGGGCCTTCGTTTCGCTAGGGGCTCTGGCAAGGCACACGTGGTTGCTCAAGGGCAATTGTTGCCCCTCTCTGCAGTGGTTTCTCCCCACTGGTGGATGACCAGCTGTACCTTGGGATCTGGTGATGTCCCGGCCTCTTTTCGGCCACCCCTCCTTCTGAACAGGCCAAAGATGGTCCCATCTCTTGGGAAACTGGCAGGCCGTAAGCTGGGACACATGTGGGTCCAAGTGGAGAGGAAGTTGCACGGCTGTGTTGTGCTTCAGTTTTGCAGTCCATGTGGAAAAGATTGGGCAGACTGGGTGAGAAGGCTGGAGGCAGAGCTTTGACTTCCCAAACCTCCCTCAGGTGCTGTTCGTCTCCCCAGTGTAGAGAGCAGTCCCTTTCCCCCACCCTTCTGTTTCCTTCCCTTTCCCCCTTCTCTCTCTCTCTTTCTTTCTGCTTTTTTTTTGTTTTGTTTTTCTTCCAGAAAATCAAAGCGAGGAAAGGGGAAGGGTCAAAAGAGAAAGCGCAAGAGAGGCCGGTATAAACCACAAAACTTGTACGTTTGCATCATGTGCTTGTAGACTCTACCCTTTCCCCGTTTTCCTCCCATCGTCCCCTCAAATCAAAGCACCTGCTTGCAGTACACCTAATTCTGAACAGACCAACAAGCAATGGCCACCCACTTTCCAAAATCGAAAATTCCCCATTGGTGTTGCTGGTGGTGGTATAGCTCTGGTGCATCAGGATCAGCGGCCTAACCGGGCAGGGCTCCTTCCCCTTGCTTGTGATGATTCTCTCTCTTCTGAAAGCTCAACCACAACATGAAGGGACAGGCAGGCCCACTTGTTCTGCTGTTGCTGCACCCTGCGATGCCCTTGTGTGATTCCTTCCCTCTTCTCTTCCCTTAATATACCCTCTGCTTTCACTTCAAGCCTGACAACATTTTAGGAGGCTGGCGATGAGGGCTTGGTGCTTGCCATTCATTCATGCATGTGTGTGTGTGTGTATGGGGGAACTCATGGTAACACTAACCGGAGAGGAACTAGAGGATTCTGGGATATATGAGAAGTGCTCTCTTTCACCTTCTCTCCCTCTGCTGGATTTTGTTGGCTTTTCCCTTCCTCTGCTTCTCAATTCACCAAATTCTGCATTGCCAGTAATCTCTTAGATGGTGTATCTGGAGCAGGAGGGGATTTGAAGAGTTCCTGTTTAGATTTATTGGGGAAGACCCAATACAATTTAAATTTGAATAGGAGCAGCTTCATCCTGGAGACTTCTCTGCTCCCTTTCTGGTACCATTGGCCCCGGTTTAACACTAGCAGGAGTTTCTCTCTAGGAAGAGATGCCACTGTGGAAACTGACATTTTACGTTCCTGGCTTGGCAGTCTCTGTTAAAACAATGAGGAGCTCAACCATTTCAGCCTTGGCAAACTGGTCTAATGCAGGATTTGTGGATTATATAGTGGCAGAGAGCCCATTTCTGTCTCTTAAAGCTCTTGTAAGTGTCAGGACGCCTTTGGGGTGTGTTGACCACCAAACAGTGCTCTGAACTGGCAGAGCTGGGTGTGTGTGGGGGGCAGGGGTGGGGGCAGGGGTTGCTTCAATGTTCAGGGTGTTGCATGTGTAAATTTCTTCCCGCTAAAGCGCTGTAGCTTAGACCTCTTTCCTTTTGCCTTTTTGCAGTCACTGTGAACCTTGCTCAGAAAGGAGAAAGCACTTGTACAAACAAGATCCCCAGACCTGTAAATGTTCCTGCAAATTCACAGACTCACGTTGCAAGTCGAGGCAGCTTGAGTTAAACGAGCGCACTTGCAGGTTTGTGTCCTGAAGGATGAAAAACACCATACCCACACGTGTGCGATGCACACATACATGCACATTAACTCAGAGAGAGAGCAAGAGAGAGGAAGTTTGCTTCTTGCTGGCTTCTGCTGCCAATGTTCTCTCCTTTCTTCTGCTTGATAAGGGCAGGGGCCAGTCTAAGGTTACCTGTCCGAAGTGATGAGCTTCCTGTGTTCTAGTAGGGCTGGTCTGGAATGACTGCAGATAAGGTGCTATTAGCCTAGGCCATATTCCTTGGAGAAGAAGGCAGCTCTTTTCCTGCTGCTAAGATTCCAAGAGAAGGACTTGAGGCCTTTTGTGCTAGTGCATGCATATCCCAGTAAGTTGCTGAAGGATGAGACATGTTCTTTCTGACCCATGCTTGGAGAGCTTTGGGTTTACTTTCACCCCCTTGAAATTTGCTTTTAATGGATTGAATGCACTTAAGACCGGGCCATAAGGCATGCATACTCTCCTGCTCTCTCTCTCTCTCTACTTTACTATAAAGTGTGTGTCTCTAGGAAGACTGTGGGACTGGCCCTTTTCTCCTTCCCTCCATGTTGTTTGAGTGACCGTGGAAGAGATAAGTGTATGACTAAGCATCTGGGCTAGACCACAGGCAGCCCAAACTAGCAAAATCTGTGTTAAATGCAAAGGGAATGTCTGAGATAGACCTCCTGAAAGGACATGTGGGGTATCTCTATATGCCTTGTGACCACAAATGCCAGCTTGCCAGTTCCAAAAGTTCCAGAGTTTGCTGCTGCAGAGGGTCAAATTACACTATACATTAATACATAGTGTGCAGCCGACCTTTCTTTCTTCTTCATTCCCAAGTGAGTGTGCACAGCCGTGATCACAGGGACCATACCACTTGGCTAGAGAAGAACCAAACCTCCCCCCCAGCTATGTGTTTCCTTAAATGCACCTTTTGAAAGACATGAGCTGCAGAGGGGATGAGAGGGGGTGGAGGAGGGATTTGGAAAGCAAGTGGCTGTAGGATGAAGGATTAAACCTTGTGCCATGGTCCTGATCTGGACTGGGGCCCCACTTGTTTGCTTGTGACCAAAAAAGAGGGTCAGCAGGGTGCTGCGTGTTGACCACATCCTGTTACTTGATCACGAGAGTTTCGGTACACCGACTTCATTTGTATTTGGGAGACCGGCATTTATGCCTGAAGAGGGACTACCTGCTAGCCTAGGGGCAGATGTGCATTCAAGCTTTCTGAACTTCTGCAGTCCCCCAGTGCAAAGACGCAGTGTAGGCGGTCACACATACTTAGTGTGATGGTGCTGTCCTAAGAGCCTTCTCCAGCCTGCAGCTCTGCACATAGTTGCAAGAGTCAAGCACCTCTGGGAGGCATCAGGGAAGGCTGGGGAACATTGGTGTGGGGATTCTTCCTCCTGTTATCAGTGCCTGGGAAGCTCAGTTCTCCGTGGAAGAGATCAGGATCCTTCTCTCTGTGCAGAAGAATCCTAGGGGGGGTTGTAACTTGAGTGCAAGATTCTTGGTGCTTCAGAAAAAAGACAGCCAGCTCTTCTTGAGTTACAGTTCACCCTGCAGAAGTAGCCCCTGGAGGGAAAACCAGACAGCTCGCTGCCCTTGACCTTTATGGTTTTCTCTCAAATGATCCAAAGAGCTTGAGATCATCTGTTGCCTGGAGCATAAGGCTATTCCAAAGCAAGGAAGAAAACTATCTGGAATGTAGGGATTGTTCACGCTGCTGTTGGCTTCCTCCCCCATGCAAACTAAGAGCTAATATCCAAGGGGTCTTTGAGTCAGTGCATTGGGGAGGAGGGGAGCAGATGGGACACACTGGGACGGGTGACTTCATAGCCATGTTGAAAGTGGGTACAGATGAACTGTCTGTCAGTCACCTCTGGGGACTGATGAAATCTAGGCCATAAAAGGGCAGAGGCCATTTATCTTCTTTCTCCTGTTTCTATCACAGACAATTGCTGTTAGGCACTAACCTCTGCCTTTTGGCAAACAGTGGAATGAGAGGCACTGTTTTGTTCTCTTTGTGTGCTTGGGAGAACATGGCTTCCTTTGGCTGCATGTCCTCAAAGACAGAACAAGGGTGGGGTGCTAGATTGGAAATAGGATGGGTTGTTTTTTGGCCATGTGTCAAGTTTGTCTAGAGTCGTGCAAGGTTGCAAAAAGACAGCTTCAAAGGCAACAGTAGTTCTTAATTTTTTGCGATATTATGGGGAACTACATCTCCTCTTGCCCAATTTGTCTAGATACTAGGAAAAATCATTTGGCTGGTCTTTTTGCTTTGTAGACTACCTCTTGCCTCTCTTGTCTTCATCTCGTGAGAGAATCCCACACCTCGTTTTCTTCTGGAAAAATAACCTCTCCCCCTTTCTCCCTCTTTTCAACAGATGCGACAGACCGAGACGGTGAGCAGCAGAGAAGAAAGGGGGTGGGGGAACAGCCTTGGTTCTGGAGCTTGATATCTCGCCTGGTCAAAATAAAAACACTAATCCAAATGAACACTAAAATGAAGGATCAGTAGAGCACAGCACTTTTTGAGTACGGACGATGGACTCCGGAAGGAACATTCCCCGAGAACCCGCACAGGATTCGCCTTTCTTGGATTTGAACTGCTTTTATGGAGAGACTTTCCTTCTCATGCTGCTAAATAATAAGAGCCAGGGAGACTGGAGTGGTCTGTGTTTTGGGACTCCCATTTCACATGAATAATATATATATATAATATATATGTATGTATGTATATATAGATATACATATATATATTCTGAGTTTTAAAAACATTGCTAACATTATTGGTGTCTTCACTGGATATACTCAACTGCTGTGGACACAAGTAGGCTACTTGAGGCAGAAATAATAAACTGTGGCTGGACTTCCTCTTCTCGTTGACCCTCTCAAGCAAGCTGGCCCACCAACGTGATGCCTCCCCTGCAGTCTTGCACGGAAAGATGCTTGTAGCGGAGGAGCAGTGGTGGCAGGGGATTCCAGAAACAGCACCTGGGAATACCATGGGTCACTCAAGCAAGGAAATTACTCTAGAAGCTGGGACTGAAGATTCTGTCAACTTCTTTCCTCCCCTCAACTTTTGGCTGCAACCTGGTTCATGGTCTGCTTCTTTGCTGGGCTGTCGGCATGTGCTTTTGTACTGACTTGCTGCAGGAACGTTGTCATGGATCTACATTCTGGCTCCAGCTGTGGGAAGTGGCTGACGCGAGGACTGGTCACCTTGAGGCAGCATCATTGGGATGCTCTGCAGGCTTCCACCCCGGTTGGCTGCTGAAATAAAGGATATCTGGCCAGTGGTGCACAGAAGCAAGAATGGGGACTGGTGTCTATCCAGGCAGTTGAACAGCACTGTCTGCCATTGTAATGCACAGAGCTGCCACTGAAGATACTTAACGGAACATCTCCGGAAAGGGATATTAATCTAAAGTATATATGTACAATAGGTGGGTGTGTGAGTGAGTGTCTGTGTCTGGCTGTATACACACACGAGGTGTTTTTGTGTCTGATCAGTTCGAAATTAGGTAGAGATATTTTGGACCTACCAGTCAATAGCCAATGAGAGCTAGCTTCTAGTCTGGTGAATTAATTCATATTCTCAATCTGTTGTAACATGAATGTGTCAAGACCTCATGTGCTAGAGTTATGATGCAGCTTCGTGTTTCTGTCAGCTATTCCACTGTTGCCTTTTCCACCCCATACACTACTTCTATTGGAAGAAGTATTCAGTTGCAACAAAAGCTTATGGAGCAAGACCCAAGCCTTATTCTCACCTTGCCTGTGTGAACAGGGTAAGCAGGGCAAAAGGCCCAGCAGTGGGGCGCAATGCTGAACTAAGTTGCTCCGCCCCTTCTGTCCTCACCATCTTTGGCATGACTTTTGGAATAGGGAGCTGCAGGCACTTGCTGAGGCATTTGCTTGGTTTAATATCTCAGGCATCCAGTGGCTCTCCACTTCAGGAGTTGTGTCATACAGTGATGTCAGAGGTGGAAGGAGCATCACAACTTGTAGGGCAAGTTGTGCAGCCCCTTTCACTGTCCTTAACCCTAACCCCATGCATGAGCGGTGCATGAAAAGAGCTCCCCTGAAGCACAGATCTAAGAAAGATAGCCAAGACCATGTTTTCCCCATCAACCTTGGAGAATGCATAACCCGTTTATTTTCTTGAAATAAACACTCATCTGGACAAGACCTGTGCTTTGGGGGTGCCCCTTTTCTCCCCCAACCCCAAAATCTTGACCCTGTACCACTTGGAAACGATGTCAGCTTTCCCCAAACTGGTGCTTTTCAGTTGTGTTGGATTGCAATTTCTATGGTTAGGGATGATGGGAATTGCAGTTCTATGCATTTGGAGGATACCAAGTTGGAAAAAGCTGCCTCAGGTTACCTGTTGCTTTGGTGAATGCTCAGTGCTGTATTATTTTGAGAACATTAATTTGAACTGGCTAGGTTTAAATGTAGCCTTAATATGACCAACTCTGTTGATCCTGACTGAGCTGCTTTTGCACCAGAAGATCAATATGTGTACATACAGCACTGGGCTGAGATTACCGGGCACCTGTTCTAGGTCTTGGCAGTCTTGCCCAACTCCCTTTAGAATAAAAGTTCAGGTCAGTGCGACACAATTCAAGGGATGGGTGTTTGGGGTGCAGTTTTGAAGCTAGGCCCAAGACTAATGTCTGATATGCATTGCTGACTATCTTGATTTTACATAATTGTCCCTAACTAAGCCTCTGTGTGTGAGAGAGAGAGTCTTGGGACAGCAGTAAAAGCTTTGTTGTTGTATAGTTGGCAAGCACTCCATGTTGCAGGGATGGAGAGTGCCTTACAGTATGGGAGTTTGGGCCAGGCATTTTGATATGCACAGATTTGGATTAGTAGTTACATAAATGCTCTTGGATAAGAGGAATAATGCTCAGTGCCTTGCAATGTAAAACACTTGAAATGCCAAAGCATCCCAAACCACTAGGCATTTGTAAACATCCTGTTGTGGAAGGAGCTGAGCGGGTAGACGCTTAAAGGCAATGATACAGTTTGTATGCCTGAAGCCTCTTGACTTCCCCAAAGACTTGGTGACTTTGTCTTGCTTTACTGCCAAATGCATGATGAAAATGTGGCTGTATGGGCGGCTTTGCAAATGCAGTGCTATAAACCATGCATACAGTTGACAATATGTGCTGAAATTTCAGGTGAAATGGAAATGGAGGGGTGGGTACACCTCTCCTTGGATTGATCCTAGGAGAGTAGTGCTCACCTTCCTCTCTGTATTGATTGTACCCAACATCTGTGACATGGCAGGCAATGCCCACTGGTTCTAAGTAGATAATGTGGTTTGGATGTTTTAAGATCGGAGGCAGCAGTGTTCCCCTTGAACCTATTCCAATGTGGCTTAAGTAAAATATGCTGGCATTTACTGTGTCAGGTGTGTATACCTGTGTACTGCTGCACGCATGGATCTGTGGCTGGCCGGCTGCTCAAAAGACAGTGAGCCCAGCTTGGGAAACACTGTTTGCCTGTGCCATCTTTTCTGTTTGAAGTGAAGCGGCATACTAAATTTCCTTCCCCTGCATTCGGGCCAGGGGAGGCCCTGGGTTCTGCACCTTGCTCCTCCTCGCCCCACGCCTGCTCTCCCGAAGAGATACAGTGCTGTCAGAGCTGACTGAGCTGGCCATTTGTTTGATATTGTAAATCCATTACTGGGCAATGTGTATACGGCCTGTCGTGGCAGATGCTGAGATTCAGAAACGTATTCACAGTTTCTCTTTTCTTTATGTGGAAGCTTGCTTCCAGTTGCCTTCACTGGATTGGGGTGTATGCCTGGTTCTCTGTTTCAGCGGGTTTTTCTTTTTTTTTAAATTAAGTGATACTTGTCTGTGAATGCTGCCAAATGCCTGTTTGTTTACAGACAAGCAAAAAAAGGCCCACAATCATATTCTTAACCACTATGAAAATCCTCTTCTAGCAAATAGCAAATGTGGTGTGCATTCTGTGTGAGTGCGTATAAGTGCGTGCGTGCGTGTGCACATATGCATTACTGAAATGTATATATACATGCTGTGAGAGGTGGCAAACATTGTTCTATATACTTGTTTAATATCCCTTTTTAAAACTAGAAATTAAAAATAATTTAAACTAGGTATTTTTCAGTATTCTTTGTTAATATTTAATTTTGCTATTTATAAGCTGTACCCTTTTTGGAGGGGACGCGGATAGTGCAGTGGTGGAAACCGCTGGGCCTGTCGAGCGAAAGGTCGGCAGTTTGAATCCGCGCGACAGGGTGAGTGCCTGTTGCTTTGTCCCAGCTCCTGCCAACCTAGCAGTTCGAAAGCATGCAAATGCGAGTAGATGAATAGGTACCACTTCGGTGGGAAGGTAACAGCGTTCCGTGCGTGAAAGCATCTAGTCATGCCGGCCACGTGACCACAGAAAGTGTCTGTGGACAAATGCTGGCTCCCTCGGCTAAGAAACTGAGGAGCACCGCCCCCTAGAGGCGGACACGACTGGACTTAATGTCATGGGGAAACCTTTACCTTTTACCCTTTTTGTACTGTTATGTATAAATTTTTAACTCTCCTGTTCCATCCAATCTCTCCCCAATTGTTGGCAGAGTTAATAACATGATCAGTTATTTAATTAATATCTCTAACACCCACCCTTACACATTCCTTTTGAAGCAAGGGTTATACATCTACATACTATATATATATATTTGGTTATATGTGTGCGTGCGTGCGTGTGTGTGTATATATACATATGTTTATGTATATGTGTAATTCGGATTAAATAGACACTACAATTTTTTTATATATATGTAAGCTTCCCCTGCGCCCCAGAAATATAGAAAATTTACTATCATTTTATTTATTGGTGCTACTGTTTTATCTGTAATGTGGTGAGAAAGAATTCACTCACCACACTGGCTAATCTCAAGATTCCATATGAAATATTTATTTTTAGACAAAAATAACAAATATATCTTTAAAAACCACCTTCTATTGCTTTTTTGTAATAAAGAATTTAATTCTCACATGGTTTTCTTTTTTCCCCCCAGTTTGGTGTTTTGGCTCTGAGGAAACAAAAAAGCATCTACATGCAACTTGTCAAAATTTACTGGGAAAAAGAGCAACACTTTGGATGTACCACCACAATCCATACACTGTCAAACAAGCACATAGGTTGCAATTCTATAGGGTACAATCATTTACTTGCTTAGACAGAAGTTTTAAAAGTGCCAGATGCAGGATTCCACTTATACACACTTAGCTGGGAGTAACATTCAAGAACTCAATGGAACTTCCTTCTCAGTAGGAACAGAGAAATCTCTTCACATTTCAAGTATGTTTTGTTAAATCTGAGAAGTTCAAATACCCAATGATTATTGTGTGCTAGTTCTCATACTGATTTTGAAAATGTGAACTTTGCAAGTACATCTTGAAATGCAAACTGAACAAAATCATCTCTTTCCTGCTTCTAAATTGGCATGCATAGGATTGTCCTAGAAATCTATTGTTTGTCTGATTTTTATACCACCTATTAACCAAAACCAATAAGCTTTTGATGTACTAAAAATCTATTCCTAATTTAAAACTACTAGAGATTGCAGATGGCATGTCTTCCTAGGAGGAGGACTGGCCACATTCATAGGAGAAAACAGGTTTTGCAGCTAAGTGCTGAAGTGACCCATACATCCATTAAAAGCGAGGTATGTGGTAATTGTCTTCATTTAAAATTAGTGTTTTAGTCATGTGCAAGTTGGAGTAATGTAAAACCCACATGCCTATTCACTAAGGCGTCTTTTTGCAGCTCAACTACTCACCAGTGATGTAGTCTCAGCACATTTGGAGGTACCAGGCTGAGGAAGGCTCCACTAAGGTTTTCTTAATTGGGTTTCTTGTCATGTGTTCAAGCTGTGTGGAGCAAGAGGAGGGTTGTGTCTACTAGCCCTAGCACCTATTCCCTTTGGTGCCATCAACATGCAGCATACATCTGTCCTTTTCGTCAGGAACACCAACTTTGTGGTGTTTGTAATCACTTGGAAGGGGAGTGGGCAACCTGCAGCCCTTCAGATGGCCTTGGACTACAAGTCCTATCATTCCTGGCCATTGGCCATGCAACTGAAGGCTGAACTCTAATAGCTGGATGGCTATGGCTTGCCCACTCCTGGCTTGGAGGAGTTCAAAATACCTGACAGATCTCCCTTATGACCTTTTGCTTCTACAGATGAAAGTTGGAGATGTAGCCAGCAGCCCTGTTTGACAGGCCGGGGGTATAGGGCGGTCCCCATAGATTATTTGAACCCACAGAGGGAAACGCCTGAAGGTGGCTCCAGTCTTATGTAAAACCTAAACTTTGGGTTCAGATTGTATGTTGCAGATTGATGCAGAAGGAAGTATCCAAGGTGCTGTGGCTGGTGTTACATTGCAGGTTGGGTTTGTTAGCGGTCGCATCCTGGTGTTGGCAGGATTCTCTAGAAAATCCTTCATACCTGTAAGTGCTGGTAATGTTGCACTGGAGATTGCTTATCCTAGTGCAACTTAGTGTTGCTTGGGAATGTGCCTAAACCGACTAAATGTTCAAGCTATTCTTAAACTACCAGTTGAATATTCGCAGAATATTTTTTTCCAACAAAAGGTGGAAGCGAAGAAAGAGGTGAGAGCTGATAGGACTTTATGTTGGCAAATGACATAGGGGCCAATTCTGTGCATATTTAGAGAGAAAAATCCAGCCTGTCCCAGGCAGTATGTCTAGTTAGGGGGATACTAAGAGTTGTAGGGCTTTTTAATATCTACACATAACGGCTTAACAGGCGTGTGGCTAAGAAACTCTGCCTTTTTATACTGGAAATGCTTATAATTATACTTCTATTGAGTAGCAGGGCTAGAAATGTGGCTTTTAATTTTTCTTAAACCATTGTGATGCCTTATAGGAGGAGCCGTCATTTTACCTCATAAAAACCACTCCCTTCAAGCCATTTATCCGGTGGTAGAATAGCAACATGCTTCTGACTATGATTCTAACAATCAAGGAGCTCAGTTCTGACAGCAAGGTGTCTATTCTAAAGTCTCTCATTAATTCACAGGCCTCAGACAAATGTATGAGCCAGGCATTATCACAGGATTACAGATTACCCATACCAGGGCTGGGCAGACTATGGCCCTCTAAATGGTGTTTGACTGCAGCAGGGACTGATGGAGCTAGCAGGAGCTGAAGGAAATTGTAGTCAGTACAGTGTGGAAAGCCACATATTCTCCATCCCGATGTGTACAGGCCAAAACAATGCCTTCCCTTTGCTTATGCTGTCAGTTCATCTGAAGAGGAAACCAAGTCTGCTCTCATCTCTTCCACCTGTTCCCCGAATGCTGTCCCCCTGCACTGCTCATCTGTCATTTCTAAATCCTCAGACTTCCACACTCTCTTATGTCAATATGCCCACATGAAGCTCAGGTGCCCCTCTTACCATGCCTCCAGGATGTGTAGTATGATGTTACTTTAGGATTATGATTATGATGTTTGATCTGGCAAACTATGTTAACATATTACCACCTGATAGGCTTTGCCTTAGAACAGCCTTCCTGAAGGAGAGCTCTTCCTTGGATACAACCGTTTTCAACTGGAGTTGTATGCCATGGAATTTCCATACATGAATGGCTGAGAGCGCCATCCTCCCATGCCTCTTCTTCTTTCCCCTACTTTCCATACTGCAATTGTAGGGAATGAGACAAGAGATCTTCAAATTACATCTTCCTTCACTGTTTTCATTTGGAGAACCAGTGTGGTGCAGTGGTTAAGAGTGCAGGGCTGGGACTCAGGAGATCCGGTTCTTTTTCCCACTCAGCCATGGAGCTCACTAGATGACTTTGGATCAGTCACAGACTCTTAGCCACAACCAACCTCACAGGCTTATTGCTGTGAGGATAAGATTGAGAGGAGGAGGGGAATTACGTAAGTTTCTTGAGTTCCTTGAAAGGAAGAAAGTGGGATATCTATAATGAATAACTTTGTATTAGTCCCCCTAAATACTACAACTTAAAGACTGCATTGTGGATTATCGAAATAGATCAGGCAGACAGTTTTTATTTTGTGGTGCTCCAACTTTCCATTCGGCATCATTGATATCTCTGACAGGCTGGAGCAGCATGTGAACAATGCTTCTGCAAAGTCCTCATATGCCGTGCCAGAATCAGCAATTAGTATAGCTTGGGAAGAGAGAATTTGATCATTACACCATTATTTTCCTGGAGTATCTAATATCAGCAGGGATGATTAGGGGCTGCCAGGAATTATCAACATCCTTTATCTGGATCTGTATTTAGGTTAAAACCAAGTTAAATCACTTGGATGCTGTCTTTGAAGACCATCCGGAAATGTATCAGCCATGTTACAATAGGCACTTGTTAGCTTTTTTTTTTTTTTTTTTTTTTTTTGAGGAGGGGATTTATGGTATGGCTATACTGGTCATGGCTGGTAGAAATTGCAATCTACCAACATCTGAGAGACCTCACCTTAAAAAGCAAAATGACATGTAGAGATGTTGTTTGTACAGTGGTACCTCAGCTCACGAATGCCTTGGTTCATGACCAAATCAGGTCGCAAACAAAAATTTCATGAAAATTTTGATGTGGGTCGCGAACTCCACACTGGGTGGCGACCGAGATCGCAGCCATCTCCCCCCCCCCCCCCCCCCCCAAGGGGGGGGAGGGCCATGATCCCAGTTGCTTTCGTGCAGGAAAAAAAGGGGCAATTTTGGCCCTCCCCCCCCCCCCCCCGGGGGGGGGGGGGATTTTGCCGTGGGGCCCCCACTCCCCCCAGGGGGGGGACCCCGAAGCCCCCCCCCCCCCCCCCCCCCCCCCGCCACCCAAGTGGGGAGATGGCCATGATCACAGTTGCTTTCGTGCAGGAAAGACAGGTGCAATCTTGGCCATCTCCCCAGCCCCTCTGAGTAGGGAGATGGCCGCACTTGTGCTCAGGGTGGGGAGGGGGAGATGGCCGCGATCTTTTTTGTTCATAGTCACTTTGCTTCACGTTTTTCTGATTTAAAAAATGGCTAGAGAGCGGATTAACCTTATTTACACTGAACCTTATGGGGAAATTTAACTTGGCTCATGACCAATTCGGGTCACAACCAGAGTCCTAGAACGGATTAAGTTCATGAGTCAAGCTACCACTGTAATTTGTTTTACCCCAGAAACTGAATCCACAGATTCAATGAATCGGCAATGGTTCCATTTGTTTAGGCTGGAGTGGCCCGTTGCAGCGGCCACTGGTATCTGAAAGATTCCAGAAAGTTGTCCTGGCATGGCTGGGGCTTCTGCCCAAGTCCTGGTCTTTCTGCAGCATGCATAGTCCTGGGCATCTATTTCAGGCTGACTATTTCTATTCAGTCATTCACAAGGCAGATGAGAAAAAAAAGGAAATGTGCCCAAAACTGGGAAGGAACAGTAGCCATTTAAGAATTTCAGGAGGGCTTGGCTTTCTTTATTTTATAGATGAGGGGACACTGTGTTCTCACTTAGGGTTTGCACTCAAGCTGCTGGACACAACCAGTAAGTCACTTAGCACCTTTCAAAGTTCTGACCATGCACAGGTTTGCATGATATGACAAACCTTGGTGGTTTCTTGCGCAGAATGGTCTGTTGTGTCATCTGAACCCTGTTCTGCTATTTCAGCACTGTATGTTTGGTTTGCAGAAGCCATTATAAGAAACAACGGTCTACTCTATGGTTTCCACACTTTACCATGGTGTCCCTGATTAGTTGAATGTGGCATCGTGGTTCTTCTTGGTGGTCTCTGTGCATCACACATATGGGCTCTGTGCCTGAACGGAGCTTTTTGTTGAGATTTCATAGCTGAAAGCACCTGGTGTTTGGTATATGTGGGATGAGTTACCACCCATTCACTCAGTTCTTTGATGGCCTTTTGTGGTGCCTCAGGAAGTTCTTTTTCCTTTTTCTTTCTGTTGAGCATTTTCTCTTTTTCTAAACGGTCACCCTTCATCTCTAATTTCTGCAGATTGCCTCTTCGTGCTGCATTAAGGCACAAGCTATCTAAATAAGTCTCTCAGTTGGCTGAGAAAACCAAGGAGCCTATGCCTCTGGCCTTAAACATGGGCTAATTCACACTGCTGAGTCAGTTGGGAAAGTGAAGGAGCCTTTACCTCTTGTGGTTCTGGCACTAGCCATGGGCTGTCTGTACCCCCAAACTGGCGGAAAGCCAAGGAGCCCATGCAGTCCTCAGGCCCAGGATTGGCACTGCCAGTGCAGCACTGCGACACTGCGGACACGGGCTGCCATCTACCCTTGGTCCCACGTGGACCTGCCCTCCATGCAACCTGCCTT